AATGAGTAGAAAGGTCCTTTCATGTTTAGTAAAACCAGAACAATCCTGCTTTTCGATCCAACCTTCCGTCTTCCGTGGCCATCTATGGATGAGGGCTCATCCGTTTGTTTGCCCAACACAAATAGTCGTTGCTTGGTCTAGAGTGTATAGTTTTTTTATCAGCGGATAGTTCTCTTGAAGCGCTTGATGGTCATAAATCTTTGAGTAGCGATCAAATGAGAAGGGCATCTTTGTCAGTCAGGCATCTTTTCTCAATTGATTCTTTCTACCAACAATTTTTATGCACTAATAATAAGTTTCATATCGATAACTCAAAAAACCAAAGAATTCGGCCAGTTTAAGTGGAATTCGAACTTGATCTGTTCTGGAGAAACAGAAAAAGTTATTTCGCAAAATAAGATCATTTTCTGGTTGCTCATCAAATGTAACATTAGGGTAATAAGTTTAATGAAAAAATTTGCTGCCATAACTGAATAAAAGTCGATCGAAGTTTCAACTTTGACCTCGATTTTCTCGAAAACTGTCCATCGTATGAACTATTTAATTGCACCTAGGGACACAGGTTTCATATCTTTATATACCCCAGCAAATCTCAACTTTTTACTCAAATGTTCGAGACTTTGGCAGCATTCTTTGTATTTCATTTATAATTTTAACCAGAAAATTACTGCATTCACCAAGATATGTGTTAATATGAGTTTAGTTTGTTTAATAAGTTGGTTCTTGTGCATTTAAACCTCAAAAATCATGACACAAATACACTAATAGAAGTTTATTGAATTGCATTAGATTATTGATTGGTGCAGAATTGCATTGGTGAAAGAATGATTGCTGTAGGTGATACCATTCTCGAAATATCGAGGCGCAAACTTTCAACAATAAAGGTCAAAATCAAGAGAATTTTTAGTATATTGGAAAAAGATTTCATTTCGTGATATCTTCCAACAATTTTCATGGCAACATAATAAGTCTCAGCTCTCAAACTCTTACGGTTACTAAATGTGGTCGGTTTAAGTGAAATTTGAACGTGATCTGTTTTGCAGAAATAGAAAAAGTTATTTTACAAAATAAGACCATCTCAAGGTTTTCAATCAAAAGTTGCATCAGTAGTATGAGTTACATGAAAAAATCTGCTTCCACGGCTGAATAAAAGGTGATCGAAGTTTTAACTTCGGGCCCAATTCTCATCAGAACTGTATATCGTATGAATTATTTAATAGTACCAAGCCTCAGCTTTCATGTCGCTACAAACAAATAGAGTCTAAATGTGATAGAAATCAATTTTACAGACAGAAATCGTTAACTGGGAATGCCACTAGTGTGTTCGCTGTTCTTCATTGGTTGAAGTACTAGTGATTGTTAGTCTTAAAAGTGCCATTGTATCATCAGAATACTTGAAATGAAATCTAAAAATATTAATTTTCTTACAAACGTAAACTTTATTAACTGACTCCAATATTATTATTATTAATAGTTTTTATGAGTATATTATACATTTGTAAAGTCAATGCATCTAAAAATTCCAGATTTACAAATTTCTTATTTGAATCAGTGGTTGGAATTGAATCACGATGGTTTAAAACAATATTTGAAGACTCTCCTGTTAATGTTTGTAATGAAAATGAAAATAACTAGGCCACAAGTCAAGTCACAGATATCAAGTCAACAAGTTGTGCATCTAAAACAAAATTCTGCGGAATTCGCAGGCAATAATCATGATTAACTATTATTATTTGCACTCATTCTACTGCTAAGCCACTGACTAATTCGGATTAAATCAGATTGATTTCAGCCTTTCTTTTCCGTTGAAAATACTGGATTTTGCTATGAAATAGATAAACAATAATATCAATTTCACTGTGATAATTCTAATTTCTTCTGATGTACTTGATATTCAAGGGTAGAAATTTTTGATTTCTAATGAAATTTTATTTTCCAGTCAACAATCAGATCTCCCAGTGAACTTTTTAGATCTCTCTCTCTCTCTCTATTTATGACAAAAATTGAAATATAATATAATAAATATCTCATTTATGAGTGTTTTCAATCTTTATTAGTCTCTACTGTTTTCAGTCTTTATTGAATATCCAATGGAAACCTCTTGACGTTTTGTGCAACATCGACTTTCTGAAAGATTGGTTCATCAATTCTCGGGCATACAAAGCCTTCCATTAAACGTCCGTAAATCGAAACTCCAAACCAAATTCCAAGTATGCTGCTGATGTATATCAATATCTCAGTCAAAGTGTACTTTGGATACGTTTTAAGAATGATGTTGAAGTCCACTTGACTCTCTAAACAGATCATTCCGATTCCTCTTCCCTTTTCCTTGAATGTTTTTCCTTGAGTTTGATAAGTTTTCTCGACACATTGAGGCCGTTTAACTAGTTCAGCACACTCTTTCCGTTTCTGGGAAACAGGTGAATGAAGACGCGTCCGCAGATCTTCAAACTTGGAGTCTTTTGCAAGTTCACCTGCTCGAACAACATCTTCCATATGGATTGTTCCTGGATAAAGTTGGAATAGCTTTTTACGCAAGCATTCATTGAATATTTCTGTCTTATTGTAGTGACGACAATTTGGTTGGTAAGGCCATTCACTGCTTTCAATGGTTATTTCCCGGTAACGAAGAAAGGTGAGTACATTTTCGCCCTTTTCCCTTTCAATGTCATTGTAACTCACGATTGTAGGATTGATTGAACTGTTTGTGTGGGCGAATCGAACTCCAAATTTATTGTAAATATTGTGCATGATGCAGAATCGTTCATCAGCTTCAATATTTCGCACCAATTGCTTCTCTATTGGCTTGGAGTTCTCCTTGCATGAGACTCGGAGGAAAGTGTTGATTGAGTTGAAATGCCTTTCAATTGAACATAAATCTGATCGAATAATGTCACCAACTCTGACTTTTGGAATCAACGGTTCAACGTTCGTAGCTTCAATGTCACCAACAGTCAAGATTTTTCCAAGAGACAAGCCAAATTCATAAGATTTAAATGCTTTGGAGCAAAAATCATTGAACTGTTCAAGTGTTTCTATAGTTGCATTGGATGGTTGGACGAACGACTTACATATTTGTGTGATTTTCTTTGGTTGTTTCAGGTAAATTTCAGTCAAATTAAGCAGATTTGTGTTCCGAATGAAAATGTCAAAATCAGGTACGATCATTTTGCTTGGATAATCATAAATAATTTCAGTTCGAACAGGAAATTGTATAAATTGACTGAGAACCTGAAAAAGTTGAATTGAACATCCAGCAGAACAAAATGTTAAAATTAAAACTTTTTTGTTGAAATAAATCATTATAAAGGTTTAATTTCTGATTTCAACTTATCTATCAACGAATTGGATCAAAATATTATGATACAATTTATTAAATTGTTGAGTTTCTGTTAAACATTAGAAAAGTTGAGCAGTAACTCTGGATACCATGAAATGATTAATTGAATTGGGAAGAAAGTCAAGAAATACAATGAAATCGAGTTACAATAAATGGATCGAAAAGATTTACCTTGATTTTTCTCAAATTAATCAATTTGGCAGTTTATTCAACATTGGATTCCTGCTATTATGTACCTAATAGCTAACGGCAAAGCCTTGACAGGACTATTTATTAATATTACAGTATTACAGTCAATAGTGAAACTTTATTATACATGTATGGCTGAATTTTACAGCCCAGGCACAAAACCCAACTCCATGATGAAGTAAACCGAAAATAAAATCCTTAGCTTTTGTCAAATTGAAAAATCCCTATGATATGAGCCATATTGCAATGAAAATAACCTTTTCATTTGAAACAAAAACATCGCTTAAATTTCCATTAGATGACCATTCACCAGATCTTCATTTAATCTTTCATTTTAGCAGTAGTCCATCTCTTTAGAAATATTTTGCTAAAAAAATACTATTGATAGCCTAGAAGTGTACCTAAATTTACTCATTAAATTAGTAAAGATGAAAATGAGGGTCTTAATATGCATCGAGTATCCATGTATCTAAAATATTTACTTTTTTATCAACATCAGTACTTTAGGCTTCGAATTGACGGAGCAAGCGAGTTTTCAGCTCTTGGTCTCTACCTCGCCAAATAATCCCTTGAAACATGTTTCCCACTTGTATTCATGTTTTGTATATTTGCACGAAATTTCGTCAAATTTGGTTGCGAAGTTTTGTCTAGCTATACTAAAGACTAAATTTAGTTATTCTGTTCGTTGTAATTTAAATTTCTTGGTTTCTCTTGTCGGTGGAGGCCTTTCAATCAGTAGCGATCTAATAAAATTCATCTCAGTGAAAGATTAGCTATTAAATGAAACTGGATTGATACTTTATTTGTAAAATAAAATTTGTGTGAGTTGAATATTAAAAATACAAAAATATAATATATGAAAAATGAGCTTGGAAACTCAGTATTTTGAACTGCGATCCGTTTAAAATGATGGATTGATCGAAATCTATCAATAAAATATGATACAAAGGACAAGCTAGGATTCCTTTATATTAATTTGTGAGATGATAAATGGCGATTGAGTTTAATTCATTCTTTCTCGGTGACTCTCTCGAAGACTATTTCAACTTTACCAGTTATAATTTCTTCAATTTTATCATCAATATCTAATTCTTTTTGACTTTCTATTTGAGTTGAATTAATATAGACGACACGACTTTGGTCAATATTTTCTTGATTAACGACTGATTCAAATGTCATTTCCTGAGTGCCATTCTCAGTTGCTGGAACGCCTGGAGGAGCCATTTCACCCAATAAAACTAAATCCCAACTCTTTCTGGTACAGAAAAGCCAAGTCATGTTGATCAAAGGAAATAATACAACGAATCCAGCAGCAATATAAACAACACCAGGAGCATCATTAATTGTGGCATTGAACAACTTTGAAAAAAACAAGGATGATATTAAAGGTCCAGTTGATTCAATGCAAGATAAAAGTGCATATATTTGGCCAATTTCATTGTATTTTATGATCCTGGCTATCACAGATCGATTACAGATGGGCAATAAGCCCATGAAGCTACCAAAAGCAATACCAACAAAGAATCCAGCTTCATTGAGAATTAGTCCACGAAGAAACATGCAAAGAACAAGGGAGAGACTTCCAATTATTCCTATGACAGTATCATGTAAATGAAATTTGTGAATCAAAATTGGAGGTGTGATTATAGTCACAATGGCGGGAATTATAATAATGAATGCTGACATGAATGAATAATATTCAGCATTCCAGTGATAAACTCGTTGAGCAAACTGAAAACCAATGGCATTTTCCCCCATGTAACCAATGAGACAGATAGCCATAGAGACCATTGTGAATAATAAAAAGAATCGTCCATTGTGGTCACGCTTTTTGAAAGCAGTATTCATTGTATTGCTAACATTACGAATGTTGATGATCTCTAAAAAGATTGCTTTTGTACTCTTTGGTCCATCTTTAGAGTTAGCAGGTTTGTTAAGTTCATGACGATTGTTTCTAGGTGAATCACCCGAACTAGGGCCATTGTTGTTATTCATTTCTTCTTCAGAAGTGCCAGCATCATTGAGTAAAATTGCCACCCAAAGTGCTGAAACAGCTGAACTTATTATGGAAATGATGAAAACTCCAATGTAATTACGATGTTGACCAGAAAACCAAGGTTTCAATGCAAGCACATATCCACCAACAGTTGTCGATGCAGGCATTGCTACAAGAAAAAGGAAAAATAAATATTAGACTCATTTCAACATTTAAATTAGAAAAATTCACTTGATTTCAAATCTTAACATTTACAATATGAAAACAATAAAGCTTCTAGTTTTGCTATTGACAGAAAGTAACGGTTATCCAACGAAAGTACTGCTATCTAGAGAGTGAGAGTGAAAGTTTTCTGTTGTGTGTTTCCAAAGAGTATAACTTACTCTTTGGTGTGTTTCTGGTTTCTAGTTGGCGCCTTATCTGCGTATTAGGGTGGCGGTGAAGCAAGTAAACCTTTTATTTTGTGGATAAAATAACAAACCAGTGTCCAAAGAGTAATGTGAGTTATCCTACTCACTACCAGTGTCTTTGTGCATAGAATGGGGTAAAGTCCCTAACACCAGAAACTTAACGATCACTGTGAATTGTTAGTGAGTAACTTTGATAAGTCAACTTATTGATTCGTTTTTACCTCATTATTTATTCTGAGCGATTAGATCAAAATCGATTGTTTGAAAAATAATAAACAAACAATTTTTAAATGTCTAAACATCACGTATTCACTAAATATCTCCGCAAATCAAATATTTCCATTCCAATATCTGTTGTTATAACGTGATGGTTCGTTTTGATTATCAGTATACTGATTATGCTAAAAATAGCTATTATGTTTTTCATGAAATTGATTTTAAAAACAAAAATTGGAATTAAATCCAATTGAAACACCGATTAAATAGTGAAAATCATCAATCTAAGCTCCTTGAAATTAAACCTTTCATTAAAATCAAGTTTACTTACAAATAAACATGAAAAGCTCTAAAATTGCAAATCTGATTGCTCGATATTTTGGCGGTGTTTTCCTTGTGATATAAGTATAAGCTCCAGTCATGAGGATAACCATATATCCACTCAATGCGGCTGGTATATTTGCGTACAATAATGCAATTGGTTCTATGAAAAAAACAAATTATTAGTAAACTTATAGCACAATATTTACTGTTAGAAAAAAACAAATAAAGCAATTCCTCTTTAAAATGGACTCTAAATTTTCTGAGGGATGAGGTTCATTATGATTAATTGATTAATTAACGCCCAATATCATGTTAATATCTTTTTGTTAGCCCTGAAGTGACTGTGATTGTTCAAAGTTTTTGATTACTTGCATTTACCTTAATTAACTGAGTTGAATGAACAGTAAACTTGTAACTTTGATTCAATCACAACTAAAGATACTGTATTTTATATTTTAATGACATATTCAGGTGTTTGTCATGAAGCACAAATCGTATTTGAAAATCGCTATCTCAGTGGATGTGATCGCAATCAAAAAATCACAGATAAAATGGTTTTGACTGGTTCATGAGAACTCAACTTATGGCTCAACCAGTACATGAGTTCAATTGAGATTGAATTTTAATTTCAATCCAAAAAAATTAATTTTGATGGAGAACACCCTAATTTGCAATCTTAATCAAGAATCTTGAAAAACTATGAAAATATTTGTATTAAACCCATGCAATGGTGATGTGTTATTAATTATTTGAAACTTTTAAAATGCACATAATGTGCAATTTTAACGCGTATTGTGAAGAGATAGTTAAGGGTCATACTTATGTCAAAAGCCAAACACTGATAGATTAGAATCAAATTTTGCAGGATTCCACAGATTGGACCAAGTGTGAGCATATACCGAATGTGACCTGGATAAGCATCGACCCAATAGCCCAGGAAAAGTGAAAAAACAATACCAGGTACTGTCACTATAATTGTCGAGTACATTTTCAGGGTTGTTGCCTTTTCCAAGACCATATTACGGATTGGAGTGTAGGAGTCATTGGCGTGTTTCTCGAGTTCCAAGCATATTGACTCATTGCCTGGAATGGTATTCATACAATATTTATCCTGGGAAAGTTGAGTAACGGTCACTGCTGGCATGAGAAGGGCAAAAACAGCCAGCATTAAGAACACATCAATTCTCAAGAGTTTAACCAACTCCAGCAATTCCTTGGCAGTTAATTTGACCATATTTGAACTTAATGAAGGTGATGTCAATTAATGGAATGATAAATGATTGGAGATTTAAATTGTAAATGATTATAAAAACAAAAGTTAAAAACAGTAGATTAGTTGAAAGATGAAGATGGTAAAGTTGATGTTTCCATTTGTAATGAAAAATTGGTTGTAAGCAATATTTTAACTGTTGGTTTTACTAATCAACAGTAGTCAGGTCAATGGTAAAATTGAAAATTGTTGATTTTAATTGCATTTATTACAGCTTTGAAGTTTGTATGAAGGGCGTAGCAATTTATGTAAAAGAGCGGTTAAAATTTCGTCCAAAAGGTAATCTTGATCATGTACTTTGATAAACCAAACTAAACCAAGGTCTATGAGGACCTGGGTAAAGTCAATTTTATTTTTCCTTTCAATTAATATATCAGTGCAATTTATTAACATTAAATCATTTTTTCATTGTTTACGCAATGTGCTAAATTTTAATAAACGGTTGTTGTTGTCAAAATCAAGATTGAATAAATTAATTATTTTAAGCAAATGAATAAAAAAACTGACAATGTCAGTCAGTGACAATGCAGCATGTTTCAAGAGCAAATATCAATTTCATCACCATTTTTTTAGCAATTTTGAATTCTCAAGCAAAGCAAATAAGTTGTATCATATTGAGCATATCATCAACCTTAAACGAGTACAGTCGTATCTCAAAAGTTTCGAAAAAGCACCAACTATAATACTGATAAGTTATGAGCTGAGACTCTTAGGTTACTGCTTAGAATGGTTACTAACCATTAGTTACTATAACCAGTAACCAATACATTTCCCTCCATAGTTATACTAGTAATAAGTAATCGACGGTTACAGGAGCAGCTCAGCACCATCTGAATGAAAATGTGGAAACTTCAAAAAGACAGAATCGAAAATTTTGTGAGATGATGGAAAAGCCTATTCGTACAAATGTACAAATCGTACACGATTGTAACGCCATCTGTTGTTAAGAGTAAATAATAGGCTTAATTAAAACACTAAATTATGCTAATACACTAGTTTCACGGATAAGTTAATTTTTGATCAGCGCCCTCTACAATAAGTAGTAAGATGCTTAACTATACCATTGGTCAAAGAGTAATATAGCAAGAGAGACCACGAAATAGGAAAAATTTATGTTTGAGATTTGGTAAGAAAGTTCACTCTCAGGTGGCGTTTAATTAAAAAATGGACAATTTAACCAGAAAATGTGCTAAAAATTGTTGCTCAAAGCACAAACACAATCAATGTGGCCAATGATTTAATCAATTTTTTGATTAGCGCCGCCTGAGAGTCAACTTTTAAGTTAAATCTCAAACTTGACAAGATTATCATTACGTGAAGTCTCCTGTTACTCTTTCCCATTGGTAGTATAGTAGACGGCGCTGATCAAAAATTCACTTATCCGTGAAACTAGTGTATGTCCTATTTTGAATTTTTTATGGCCAACCATACATTTCTTATGAATCTTTGTGTGATTTTATTGGAAGGACTTTGTCCAAAAACTTCGATTTCACCGCTAACAGTTGGGATTTTGTGAGTTTTTAGGGTTATGAAAACTGAGTCCATCAGTGCTATTGAAAATTTGTTTGAGTCGCCATTTTCGATAAAATCGAGGTCAAAGTTGAAACTTAGATTGCCTTTATTTTACAAAAACCAAATCTTTCATGAAACTCGTTTTTATGGTGTAACTTTTGCTGATTAACCAGAAAATGCAGTTACTTTCAATGAAAAATTCTCTGTGCAGATCAAAAACAGATCACTTTCGAATTTCACAATTCGAAAAATTGGCTGACTTAACATGTTCACGCATGCGTTTTATCGCTAAAAAATGAGTTTCAGATCGATAACTAAAGCAGTTACATAAAGCGATCAATTTACAGTGGAGTACCAGATACTGTCAGTAACTGGAAATAGCTTATATGCACAGCAAGTCTATTAATCGAGCTAAAATTTAAAATTAATTACAATGATTAATAAAATTACAGTCAGTTGCTGGAAAAGTCTAACAAATTAATGTCATTGTGTTGAGAATCGTTAGTTGAGTTGAATTTGTCAGAAATATTGAACTTTTTTGATAATTTTTTATAATTTCAATTAAAACTTTCTTATAGGGAATGTAAACAAAGGGTTTGAGGGGCTATTGAATAATCTACTGACATTATCTGGTACTGACACTATCTGGTACTCCACTGTAACTGGAAATCGAAGTGATCTGTTTTGTATCTAAACAGAGAATTTTTCATTGAAAGTAACTGCATTTTCTGGTTAATCAGCAAAAGTTACACCATAAAAACGAGTTCCATGAAAGATTTGGTTTTTATTGAAATAAAGGCAATCCAAGTTTCAACTTTGACCTCGATTTTATCGAAAATGGCGACTCAAACAAATTTTCAATAGCACTGATTGACTCAGTTTTTATGCTTCAAACAAGGGAACCGCGCGAGTTACCTAGAACCGATTTAAATGAGACTTCTTTTATTAGATAGAGCATGTTGAGTTATGAAAGAGTATGATGGGTTTCGCTTGTATAGAAACTGGTTCATAAGATATTTGGGTTTAAAATTTGGAGGTTTTTATCATAAAGAGGTGGAAGATGAACGTTAATATGAGCCGAGAGGTGGCGCAGTGAGGAAAGGGTTGGTTGAAAAAGATAAAGGTTATGGGTTCGAATCTTGGTGTTGGCATTTTTTTCAAACTTTATACAAACATTTGTATATTATTTTTAATGTATTTTAATGTTATTTAAATGATTTTTAAATTACTTTAACACTATTTAAAGCATTTAAGGCTGAATTTCTGCGAATTTCTCGATAATTTATATCAGCAGCGTTGGGATAAGTGTGACATTTAAGCTGGAAACTTATTTCACTATCATATGTTCCTTTGTTCCTTTGTTCCTTTGTCTTCCATATTTGCCATCTTACTACGGTTAAAGTGAATTGTATTTGTATTTGAAACTTAAAAAGTGATTTTGTTTTGCAAATCGTTTAACTGTTTAACTGTTTAACTGTTTTAAACTGTCAGTTTACTCTATTACTTTTCACTCTTTTACGTGTTTTAGCTCTATTTCAACATGAGCAACCCAACAAATGTTGTAAGCCTTCTTGTAAGCTTCTTCTTCTTCGTCCTCTTATGTCCCTTCACCAGTTAAAAAACCAGTGCCTCTGCAAAAGGAATTTAAACTTGACCAAATGAAAAGAATAATTGAATATCATGATAAATATGGAAAAACATCAACTTTGAAACGTTATGCGAAACTGAACAATGACAACAAAAAATACAGCGAATTAGGGAATAACTGATTATGATCTTCATACTTGGGCACTTCAAGCAGGTCAAACACTACAGCTGCCAAATTTCAGTGAATCAAATACTTTTATTAGAAGTCTCTAATGAAGAAAGAATAGAAACAATTAGTTATTGATTTCGCCAAAAAAATTAATGAGTTAAAAGCAAAAATCAGCAATGAAGATGTTTGGAATACTGATCAGTCTGGTTTCAATTATGAAATAAGTTAAAATAGAACTTTAAGTAACAAAGGAGAAAGAGACATTTAGGTTCTCGTTCGAAGTTGTAACTCATTAACTCATTCATACACCATTCAAGTTTTAATTTCTAGTGCTGATAAACTAGCTCCAAATTTATTTATTTTCAAAAGCCTTCAGGTAAATTTTGACCACAAATCAGTAGAGCCATAGAGTCAGGAAAGCCACCTAATGTAGAAGTTACATCTACAACAAGCGGTAAAATGACTAAAAAACCTTGCGCACTTGGGTTAAAACTTGCTTCAATCCTCTCTGTCACTCTAATACTTTATTGCTTCAAGATTTATGAGCAAGTTAAATGATCGTATTTTCATAATTTCGATGCATTGATTTATTTATAACCAATTTTCAGCGCCAATTCACCATCAAATGCTACTTTATGCTTGGAAAGCATCTGGTTATACTATTTCAGAGGAATTAACAACATTCAAATTATGCTTGAAAATTAATTTCGATACCAGCTTCGAGGATTGCTTTATTTCAGGCTGCACCTCCCTGATGTTCATGCTATTCGAGCATATTTATGCTGTAAGCATTGTCTTACTCATCTCCATCTATGTAATTTTACTCGATAATTCATTAATTCCCCAAATATACATATTTTATCTAAACTTTCTTAATTTCTTTCATAATCTTCAATATTACATTTATAATTAACAAAAAAATTGTCAAAAAATCATTTAAATAACATTAAACCACTATGTTTAGGGTAACCAGTATTTAATCAAATGGTTAAATTGTATAATCTAATGCTATTTTGAAGTTGGTTAACTTAATAGTTAACTAACACTGTTAACTAAATATACACAGTTTGCTAAAAGACAGTGATAAAGAGAGTGATTAGACCTGATAAAAAATAGTCAAAATTAAAATTGAAATGATAAGAAACTTAAAATGAAAATTGGAAAACCCATTGAAAGCAATGGAAAATCTAGACAAAATTTTGTCTTGAAATTTAAAAAAAAGTGTTGAGATAAGATTACATAGTGGTTTAAATCAGTTAAACCACAATATCTCGAAGCTATGAGATAAAACTCTCGGGCTTCGCCCTCGAGTTTATATCTCATAACTTCTCGATGCAGTGGTTTAACTATCACTTAAAATACATTGAAAATAATATAAAAATGTTTGAATAAAGTTTGAAAAAAATGCCAACACCAAGATTCGAACCCATAACCTTTATCTTTTCCAACCAACCCTTTCTCACTGCGCCACCTCTCGGCTCACATTAACGTTCATCTTCCACCTCTTTATGATAAAAACCTCCAAATTTTAAACTCAAATATCTTAGGAACCAGTTTCTATACAGGCGAAACCCATCACACTCTTTCATAAGTCAACAAGCTCTATATAATAAAAAAGAGTCTCATTTAAATTGGTCTTAGGATCTTGCGCGGTTCCCTTGTAAAAGTCTTAACTCTTAACGGTGAAATAGAAGTTTTTGGACATAGTCCTTTATGAAAGAAGCCATTTTAACTGTATAAGCGTTCTAGTATAAACTCTAAAGCCAACGCTTTAGTTTACAGCTATCTAGTTTACAATTGTAAAAATTAAAAACCCAATCGAAAAGGGCATCGAGAAGCCAAGTCAGTTATTTTTTGTATATAATTTAAACTAATGTGATTATTTAGAACGCTAAGTCAAAAACAAACTAAGGATTTAATTAATCTTTTAGTATACAGAACATTCTAAATAGGCTGTTCATTTCGTGTGTTCATAAGAGAATATAAAATCAGAAGATTATTGGTCGTGAGTAAAGTTAATCAAATACGCACTTTTTTA